TGGGAGAAAGCAACAGATCACTGGGGTTTGTCACAAGGCAGCCATAGAGGTCCAAGGGGTACGAGTGACCCTGCCTGTYTTTGCRGTCAAGAACTGCAGCTCCGACCTGCTCTTGGGTCGAACGTGGCTGAGCCACGTGCATGCGGTAACGATAGAGCGACCTGATGGGAGCCAAACATTGTCCATTAGGAAGCCAGACGGGAAGCGGGTAATGATTGAGACAGTGGAGCCTCGGGACCCGAGGAACAGAGCAGCTCTTGCTGTGGGTGCAAGACCCAGCGATCAAATTAAGTCGATACCTATCTCCGGCCGTGCGGTGCGATTTCGCGAAAAGAGATATGGACCACTGCTCACAGAGGAAGAAGGTCGGATCGTGGAGGTGGAAGACTTAGGGAGTCGACTAATAGTGGACGACAACTCGTACCCAAAGGAAAAAGATGAGGAATTTGGCGATGTGGTATCCGTGTCTTTTTTAAGGGCACGGCCCCCTATGGGGGGCTACCCAAGCGACACAAACGAGTAGCACAAAAAGTTAAGCCAGCGGCGGTGGGCCGCGAGCGATCTGCACTAGAAGGGATATCGGAAGAAGAGATCGCAAAAGAAATCAAAGAAAAAAAGAAAAACAAGCCGCAACGCCTAACGGAAGAGAGGATAGCAGAGATGGACATCGGAGATGGAAATTTGACCCCACAGGAGCGATAACGTGTGATAGAAATCCTGAAGACATGTGATAAGGCCATAGCTTTTAGTGACGCGGAGCGCGGTAGGGTTGACCCTCGATACGCTAAGCCAGCAATACCACATGTTCCCTGGAATGACGCGGGATGGAAATACGCCCAGAAGGAGAAAGAAGAAGTTATCGCTTTCCTGAAAGAAAAGATGGTTTCCCACGTTGCGGAGCCGTCTGATAGCGCTTATGCTAATCGATGGTTGTTCCTACGAAAGCCGAATGGCAAGATCCGATGGATCCAGGACCTTCAGAAGGTCAACGCGGTGACGATACAGGATGTGGGCTCCGTGCCACACGCCGATTTACTGGCAGAAGGCGCAGCAGGTAGGTCGATCTATTTGGTCTGTGATCTGTTCTCAGGTTATGATGAGGTACCGCTTGACCCTAGGGACAGACACCTCACGACTATGCATACGCCATTGGGACTAATTCAAATGATGGTTGTCCCTATGGGATGAACTAATGGGGTAGCTGTTTTTCAGAGAGTTATGGTAGCCGTCCTCAAGGACTTCATCCCTGATAAGGTTGAAGTTTTTCTGGATGACTTTCCTATAAAAGGGCCAGTAGACAGGGATGAGACAGAGGTTGTACCTGGAGTTAGAAGATTCGTCGAGCAGCAGCTAACAGATATTTGCGCGGTACTCGAGCAGCTGGACGATGCGAATTTAACAGTAAGCGGAACAAAGAGCCGATGAGCCGTCTCGACTATTAAGATCTTGGGCTTTATCTGTGACTCGAGAGGACGCCGAGCAGATCCGGCAAAGTTAGACAAACTTATGAACTGACCCTCACCGTTACATAGCCCAACCGAGGTCCGACAGTTTCTAGGAGTGGTCGGTTAGTGGCGTATATTCATACGGGGATATGCGGAGAAGGCTGAGGCATTGAGGTTACTCCTTCGAAAGACTGAAAA